CTCCCTTACGGTTAACAAAAGCTCTGCCCAGCAGTGATGGTGCAGATTCTACAGCTGCTCTGGCATTCCCCGGATAGTTTCAGAATGATTTCAGGCCCTTTGGGCTTCAGAGGCCAATTGTGTTTTTGTTTTTTTTTGTAATTATTATTATCAGTAGATTTCAAAATGGCTGCTTTTCCTCTAAGCATCGTGGGAAATCCCTGCTTCCTTGTGTTGAGCTCCCGGCGGAGAAAGCAGCTCAGCCTTGCTCTGGGTTCTGCTGTAGCTGCTTGTTGCCCTGGGGTTCTGTCCGTGCTGCATGGCATCAGGCACAGAGCTCTAAGAGAAGGAGCGACAGAAGCTGTTGATCTCTGGGCGTTGCTCAGGTTCCTCTAAAGCACCGCATTTCCCAGCAGTGTCTGATCTGAGTCACAGAAGAACCCTGCTCTCTCATCCACCGAGGTAAATATGAACACAGAACTGTTGTCACAGCAGAAAGCTGTATCGCTATGGCAGTCTTATCAGCAGGTTGTGACACTTGTGACAGATAAACATCCTCCAGTGGGGATTTTGTTCTCAGCATGGCCCAGATCTCCCCATAGCACCGGGAGCAGTCAGTGAGCACACAGCCTCACTGCAGTGGCCCCAGAGGGTTCAGTGCTTGTGAATCGCCTCGAATCTGAAAGTGTTAGAAAGGCATTTGGGCACACTCAAGGCCATAACTGAGAAAGATAGGAGCAGGGCAAAGTTCTCATGGGTCACAAGCTGGCACGTGGGAGCCTTAATGTGTCGTCTGGTTTCTGTGCTGTCTTTCTTAGTGCAGGAGATAATCCTGTGTTGGTTTTCTTTTTCATTAAGCACGCAGAGAAATGCCATGCGAACAGTAAGGCTGCAGTGCGGGAGCCACCAAGTCTCAGCTTCCTTTTGCACGGGAAGTGGTGGTAAGCTGAAATATGGGGTTCAGTATCCTCAGGATGTTTACCTCTGTTTGCTCTCCTTCTTTTAATTACTATCTTGCCATTAATTACTACTGATTCCTAGTAGGAATTCGGTTCAATTCCAGAAAGCCAGGATATACACTAATTAACAGAAAATAACGATGCTATCGTTATAAAAAGTGTTTTTAGTACGAACACGTACATATTTGGTGGGCAGGGCTGCTCCATTTCAAAATGAGAACCTTTTACACAGGTGATGGCATCACCAGACTTGTGGTGCAGGAGTGCTCATTAGCCACGTTGGACAGGTGATGCAGCCATCAGTAAAGAGCTGTTTCTTCCCACAGCACCTGACTGCTGAGGCATCAGCCACTCCAGCATCGCTGCCTCCCACTTCATGGATGCAAATGTGAGGCGCTTCATGTGCCTTGAAGGAGACACAAATGCTGGGGTTGAGCCCCAAAAAATCCCAAACAGCGTTAGTTAAACCATATTCTAAACAGTCAGAAATCAGCCCTCGCCGTGGTGTGCAGCAGCACCTCATTGTCCTCATTCTCGTTGCCATGTCATTCCCAGTAGGTGTCATTTCTCCTGTGAAGAAAGGCTGAGGAAACTGGGCTTGTTTAGCTCAGAGAAGAGAAGGCTTCACAGAGACCTCATTGTGGCCTTCCAAAATTTGAAGGGAGCGTATAAAAGGGAGGGGGAATGACTGTTTACAAGGGTAGATAGTGATAGGACAAGGGGGAATGGTCTTAAACTGAGACAGGGGAGGTTTAGGTTAAATATTAGGAGGAAGTTTTTCACACAGAGGTGGTGAGGCACTGGAACAGGTTGCCCAAGGAGGCTGTGGATGCCCCATCCCTGGAGGTATTCAAGGCCAGGCTGGATGTGGCTCTGGGCAGCCTGGTCTGCTGGTTGGCGACCTGCACATAGCAGGGGGTTGAAAATGGATGAGCATTGTGGTCCTTTTCAGCCCAGGCCATTCTGTGATTCCCTGATTTCCATTTCCCAGGAGTGGATATGGGCCCCTTGGCTCTTTGGCTCCCTGGAGCACCCACCCCAGCTAAGCATCGTGCTCACACTCTGCATTCAACCCAAGAAATCCATTCGTTGCCCAGTAAGTCAGAGTTGGCAGTGAGTTTTCCGATAACATTCCCCCACGTGATGGGCAATATTGCCCTCTGCTGGTTAATGACAGCTTAAAAAGGCTCTGCTCCTTCCCCCCCACGCTGCAGCTCTGCTACCACAAGCTGGTTTTCAGTCCCGGGGTCTTATTTGGTGCCATGAGACATCGCACCCTTCGGTTTCATTATCAGCAGAAGCAGCTTTCCATTGGGAGCACCTGAAAATCAAACTCTGACGACTGTTTTTAAAGGTTAGGGCCGTCATTCCTGAACCCTCATTTTCAGAACTAACCCCTTAGAAGCATAACTTCTCTGAGCTGGTTTTGCAAGTGAAATAGCTGTGAGGCTTTTAATTAATATTTGCATTGGTTAATGAGATCTTCTGCGTATGGCAGATGTAAGCTGGACCCCAGGAGCTGCCCCATCCCCTGGTTTTGTGGCACGTAGGGGCTGGGCTGAGTTAAAAATAAGCTGATGGAAAGAGTATTATTTTTAACCCAGGTCGGTCCCCACTATGGGACTGCACACGTGGGTGCTCTGGGCAGCTGAAGGACGGTGACCCAAGGGTGCTTTGGAGCAGTGCTGTCTCCAGAATTTGTTCCTCAATGCCTTTTCCTGTGCAAATGTCAGTGCAGGCAAAGCTCTGGCAGTGCTGCAGCACTTCTTGGTTGCTGCACTTTCTCATGATAAAAGCTTCTCAGCTAAATCTCATCATTGCAGGTGGTACAGCTGGTTTTATTCCTGCTCTGCCCTGAGTTCTTTAAACCTTAAATGTGCACTGGGAGCACCTGATGGAGGGGGCAAGAGAGCCACAGAGCTGAGAGCATAGCACCGGGAGGAATAAGGTTATTTTGAATTCTTCAGACTGTTGGTTTCACGCTGTCTGGATTAGAGGAGAGCTATTGGGATTGATCTCTTACACAGCTGGGTGTAATTTATTGGGGTGTGTGCAGAGCACCTGGTCTCATAGCCAATTGCATTAGGTATTTGTGAGTTTAATTGGGGTGTGATGCACAGAGAGCTTTAGGGCCTGCAATGCAGTGCAGTTCTCCTTCCTGCACTTGCTTGTCAGTACAAATGCTGCACATTCATCACACAAGACTTATATATTGGGAGGAAAACAATGTGGTTTGTGTTTCTGTGGGAGGAATGTCTCAGTTCTGGTGCACTGTTAGGACGTGAACAATCTTGACTGGTTTTTGCATGTACGATTGCTGTTATGTGGCTTTACTATTCCTTCTCATCCCTGGTGTCTCACTGGCTTCACCTTAATAGAGCCAGCATCACCAGACTGACACGTGCTTCAGTGCTGTTTGTATAACGTGCGAGTGTGAAACCCTGTAGGATCTTATGGGAAATTGGGAATTGCTGGGGGAGGTTCTGGTTGGATATTAAGAAAAAAAATCTTCTCAGAACGAGTGTTGGGCAGTGGCACAGGCTGCACAGGGAGATGGTTGAGTCACCATCCATGGAGGTGTTCAAGAAATGTGGCGATGTGGCCCAGCGGGCATGGTGGGATGGGTTGGACTAGATGATCTTGGTGGTCTTTTCCAGCCTTTATGATTCTATGATTCTATCCCCTGAGCTTTTCCTTGCCCGCTGCCTTGCTGTCCCCATGCGATGGCAGTGAGCCGTCCCCTGCTGCAGTGACCAGCGTGCCAGCAGCCTCATGCTGGCGTGGTGTTTGGACATGGGGACGTGAGCCACATGCCGGATCCCTCCTCTCCCCGAGGCCTTATGTTGTGCTGTGAAATGACTTCTTAAAAAATACCTTGCCTCCTCTTCCTCATGCCCTCAGAAGCATCTCCCAGGGTACGCTTACAAGGTAAAGACGATGCCGCCTGCTTGGTTTGGGAGCGTCGGTTGTTTGGTGCACACCGTGGCTCTTTCTGCAAACGTGGTCCTTCTTCCATCTTCAAAGCATTTTCCAGCTGTGAACTAAGAGCACACGCACTTGCTGAGAGCACACACCCCTCCCGAAGCAGCTGATGCCCAGGAGAAACCTCCCCAGCGTGACACATCGCTTTTGATGCAAACAAAATGACGCCGTATTTCATCAGCGCCATTAAAACTATTTAAGTAATTGAATTAATGACACTTCCAATAGCCTTTAGGAGACAAATCTGATACACGCCCTTCTTTTCAGTTTTTCTTTCTGTTTTCTTATTGTTTTCTTGTTTCCCCCATGCAATGCTTTCATTTGTGATCTTACCATTTGCTTTTTGATGTGTGGGTTTTGTGTTAAGTAGCTGATTTCCGTACTTCACAGCATTGGTACTGCTGTATATTCTGCAGCAAGAGTGTCTTCATTTGCAAAATACCATGAGAATGACTGGGGTGCCTCATCTTTCATAGTACTTTTTCCAGACATTGGGTTTCAGTTTACTTTGCGTCCATTCTTTGGAGAGTGCATCCATTTTAGTCCTTGAAACATGCTTATCTTTGGCATCTTCAGCCTGGTTTCCCACCCTCATTTGATCTCCAGTGCTTCTCCACCACCTTTCCAGCTATAAATATCCAGCATCCATCCCCTGTGAGCCCACGTTTGTTTTATTTTTCCCACATGGTCCCCATAGCTAGCCTAGCATGAGTATTTCTCTCTATCCCTCGCCCTCAAACAGGGCTAAACCTTCCTATGCAGATTGTCAAGACAAGGGGTGACAAGCTGTGCTGTGTACCATTGCAGTATTGCCCAGGACAAGGTGCTCAGATTGCTCGCCCTGCCTATGTCAGGGTGGCCCCAGTATGGTGAGAAGCAGCTGACGGAGCCTTCAGCTCCAGGCACTCCCCTGGCTGCAGGCAGACCTGGAGACAGCTCTGAAGCCCTCTGCATGAGTGGGCAGATGGCCCAGGCAGGAATTCAGTGAGGCCCTTTTTTCAGCCCAAATTTCCATCGTTTCACGTGAGCCTTCAGCATTCCGGATGCAGCTCACTTTTCTCGCTCTCTTTGCTTTTCCAGGTGAGGCAAATGAAGAAGCCTTTGCTGAGGAGTGCCGACGGAGAGGACAGCACGCCCTGCCCTTCCAGCCCACCAACACTCGCCTGCTGAAGCCACACAAGCCTGCCAGTTCCCCCAGATATGCCTATCATTACAATAGCGATGAGGTGGAAGAGCAAGAAAAAAGCCGGGTTGCAAGCAGCTTGGAGAACCCCTTTTATTTATCAGGTGTGCAAAATCATGTTGATGAGAAATACGCAAAAAAGGATTCACCAGTTAGCCCAAAGGGGAAAAACAAAAGCCAGGCCAGGGGGTGTTGCTGTGTGACTTAATGCTGGCACCCAGTGGATAATAAACAGCCGCTTGAGTGCCTTCGTCTGCATTAGCTATGCTCATCCACGTAGCCTAGATTCACAAATGCTCTGGGATCCCCAGGGCCTGACCCAAGGATCCAGGATAAACTTTGTTTTGTTATGCTGCTGAAGTGCCCATGCTCTTTGTTCTTAAAAGTGAAGGCCTGTTAGGGAATAACTAATCGCAGTACTTTGCACATTCATTTATTTAAATAGTGCTTGGTTTACTTGCTGAAGGAAAAGTTCAGCAGCTTCATATTAATTCTGGAAGCTGCAATTTTGGGCATCTAAATCCTAATTAAGGGGGCCGAGACTGTTCAGGCAAACAAGGAAGTGTAGCAATTGGCCTGGTTATTTTTGGAAGTGCTTAGTCCTTTGATGTACTTCCCGTCTGTAATGTTTTGGCAATATAATCCAGAGGCTATCTCGGGCAACAGAACCCTCAGAGCCACTTGATTTAATCAGAACATGCAGTCAAAGCTCGCTCAGGACTGCCAGGACAGGTTACTGTGTTAGTGACTTAGCACTGGCATGAGCTGACCAAAGAGGCTGTGAGGTGTTCATGGAGATCTCCAGAAGCCACCTGGATGTGGTGCTGGGCACCTGGTGGGCAGGGGTTGGGCCAGATGGACCCAGAGGTCCTTTCAACCTCAGCCATTCTGTGCCTCTGCAACATGAAGATGCCTTGGTTCGTGGAAGCCCACGCTCGGGGCCCTTCTCAGCAGAGCTGGGTTGGGTGAACTGCTGGGAGCTATGAGTGCCTGGGCTCCTCAGGGCACACACAGTGCATGGGAAAGGTGTGCTGCAAAAAAATGAAGGAAAAATATCCTGTTCCCCAAAACACACGCACATGCACACACGTTCCCAATGCTATACCTAATTCTATTGTGTTTGAGCCTTTAAATTTAGCACCTTATACTGTACAAACAACCTACAAATACCATACACAATGCCAGCTTGCAAAAATATTCAAATAAATGTTTTCCTGGTCAGTTGCTAGAAGTTTAGTTTCATGAGGGATAGCTAATTTGATTTGATCTTTAAGAAAAAACCACGAAACTCCAGAATCCTCCACCTAATCCCTGAGCTGATGTACTGAAGGCCAGGGTTTCTGTGTTTCAGATTTTTGTGTTTGTAGCTGGCAAAAATACCCAATAACTTGGCTCACTCTATGGGGGACTTCAAGTTCCCTGTGATCCTAACAATGTTTTGTACTAGTTCCCAAAGAACAATTTTTGGAGCTGTTATAACGTTGCTCTGGGCTTCTAGCTGTGAGTCTGTTTATGTTCCAAGGTGCACAAGTTTGCAATTAAAATGAATTTCCTGAATTATTTGCACAATCCCCAAATCCTCCGTCCTGCCAGTAGAATGCCATAAAACAGATACAAAGATTCAGGGTTGAGAATAGGATTGCAGTCAAGACTATGATTTTACTGTTGCTTTAAATGTTTTGCCTGCTGTTCCTCTGATAGACAGACAGTGGCTGCTGAAGGACTGGTCGAGTTAGTCATAAAAACCTACGTGAGTGTCTTAATCTCTGCCTGGGAAGTTCATGCGTGAGCCCTGGCCAGCAATGCTGTTCTCTTCCGTGGGTGCTCACCGCTGTCAGCTCAGCAGGCTCCACAGCTCTCTCGCTGCACAGACCACTTGCTTGCTCCCACTTGGCTTCTCATTTATCACCACGACAGCTGCCGTGCGCGGGGGAAAGAGCCGCATCGTTCTCTGCCTTGATGCAAAGCTGTGGTGGAAAATAGCAGAGCTCCATGGGCTCGGCCTGGCGCGGCTCCACTCGGATGGGATCGTTTTTGCCACTGCTGGCACGTGGCCTTTGGCAGCGATTGCTGCACGGCAGTTTTAGATGTTGTCCCTGCTGTAGCACCCAAAGCAAGTTCTCAGTGGTTAATGAGTCACCTGCAGTGAAATGGTCCTCTTTACCCAGCTTAAGGAGTGGGAATGCTTGAGTTTTAATTTGTTAGTCCTTAGCAAATTGAATTGGAAGGGCTGGGGGTAGGTTTCATCTTGGCTGTGTGGTGAAGCCCATGTCTCTCCAGTGCTGACTTTCAGACCAGACGTGCAGTGAATCCTCTCCGCAGCGAGGGCTTTCAGTCATTGCAGTGAGGTTGTAATACAAAACTAATTCATTTGGATCTGATCTTCCACCTTAGTTGAATGCTTTGCATTTTAGTAGGAATTGCTCCAGGTTTCATGTTGTTATTGGTTTCATAATGGTCTTTTAATAAAACTTCAGCTTGTGTTCTGAGGTTGCTGAGAACAGTTCTCTAGCTCCAAACAGATAACTTTTATGGCAAGAACTCAGGTACTGCTAGTAGTGCACTCCCAGACTCTGGTATTCATCTGAGTAGGGTATCCAAGTTGTACCGTATTGGTACAGCACAGACCTGGAGGTTGCAGCTGCTAATGGGACTGTGACTTGGGAATTTTGATCCACATCTAGCAGGAATGATTTAAATACTTAACTTGTAAAAATAGTGGAAAATACTTGATACAAAAGATCGTTGTTTGCAAGATGATATTGCAAGGTTTGCTCTTCCTTTTGAATGAAATAGCTTGCGATAACCTAAAGCTTACAACATTAATATTTCATTTCTGGTTCATTTTCATCTGCTGGCATCACCAAAGGAACCTCTTCAAAAGAATGAGCTTAACTAATCCTGACCCTTACTGGCCTGGGTTCCTCTGCTGGAAAGTTGAGCTATTCAAGCTTCATTACGTCTTTAACACAGCGTCCGTTCTTCTTACCGACATATGATTTCCTGAATTACGCATTACTAACTAGTAAATTTGAAGTGCTGGTTGTCCAGACTAATTGCCTTGTAATTCCCCCTTCTATTTGGATATGTAATGGAAAGTAAAGCCGCTTTGTTTTCTGTAGAAGCCTAATACATGAGGAATGCTGGATGTGCGGGTGTGATGGGAATGAACTCTCCCGTTGCTCTGTGTCCCGCAGTGTGGCTCCCTGCCCCGCTCCTTTGTGGGCAGAGGGTGGGAAGAATGCCTGGGCTCGTTGCCTCCCTGGCTCTATTGGAGCTGCCATTGTGCATGGTTTTTTTTTTGTCTGCTGGTAGTAGAGCATCCCATTACCCTTTTGCTTCCCATAGAAAGTGGCTGGATTGCACATGGAAGGGCTTCCAAGCCTTGCAAGCTTTTGCTTGCCATGTGGGAGTAAAACCTTGGACTCTATTCAACAATGTGTTACCTTAATTAAGAGCAGGTAAGCAGGTTGTATCTGGCTTGGTATGTTCTTCTAACAATTCTTCGCAGAATTGGTAATGAAAATAGTATGGTGAGCAAGCATGAAGGAAGGCCCCAGTAAGTTGCTACAGTTTTTTCAGTCCCCTAAAAGATCAAAGTGTGAATTACATCACAGGGTTGGACAGTGAAACTGGAGAACTCATCCCTTGGATTTAACAGCCAAGGTGATTAAACAATGTAGTGGCATACCTAGACAGGGTGGGATGTTTTGTCACTGCAGCCCTTTACATAAAGGCAGGCTCTTTTTCCACAACGCTCTACGGCATAGGCAGCAGCACCACGTGGTTGTGGTGAGAGGATTAGTAGGTCAAATTGTGATCTCTGTTGGGCCATGGCTTGAGCTGAAAGCAGGGAATGTGAAAGTAGAGCTCTAATTGTAAACTGAGTCACATGCATGAAATTATACTCAAGATGTGACTGGGGGTAAATTTTTGTAATGGTGTTTCTGAAAATGGCCAGGCTGCAGTAACAGCTGGTGGCTCCAGCTCAGATAAGCTAGCAAACTTTGAAATTACTTTTACATTTATTGTTTTGATTAGAGAAATACCTCTAAGAGCAGAAAATTAAGCAGCGTGGTCTTCAAAATCCAATTTGCACAATGATCTTTTGGCCCATTAAAGGTCTGTGTGCACGCTGGGGCCTCCTGGCTTGTCCCTTTGGATCCATCGCTGAAAGTGATATACCTCACTTGCCATTACCTCCCAGGAATGTAATGAATTCAGTCTGAAAATAACTGTGCCTCTGCAAGGTACAAATGGCTGAGTGGTGACAAACCAGGAGAAAAGCCAACCTGGGACTCAGCAGAGAGGCTGCCCAGTTTGTTTTGGTCCTTGTTGAGTGGTTGAGGGTTTTGCTACAAAGTGTTGGACGTTGGCTTCAGCTTTCATCAGCTTTCTGAAGACCAGAATAATTTCTGTGCTCTTTATGGTTCTTTTGGAAGTAGAAAAGAGGGAGATGAAATGGAGAGTGGTTCAGCAGATGCTGTTCATTGTAGACAAGAATGATCCAGGTTGTAAAGCAGGTGTAATTCCAAATGGTGGATTCTTGCTTTATCCATTCCTGGCAGCTGACAGCAGCAAGAAAGTACCATGTTATTCTGTTATCTACCTTCACTTGAATGAGTCTGATTCCAAGTATCAAAGCTTTGGGAAGCTCTCAGAAACCATTTTTCCTCCACCCTCTCCTAAGGCTCGTTATCTCAATAGAATGCAATTCTAGAGTTTAGATGGATAACAATTACTTCCAAGGGGGAAACTTGCCAAGCCACTCTCCAGGACCAGGACTGCTTGGTTGAAGCCCGCTCAGCTGGGCAGCAACTATGGCAAGTTTCCATGAGCACTTTGTGATGCTGGCGACCCACCAGGACACGTTTACTACAGATTAATCAAACAGTAATGGGGCTGCTGCTTTCTGATTCAGATTTTGTTCTCTCACGACTTTGGGGCTAGGCTTCTAAAGCCAGGCAGCTAAATATGCTTGTAATTAGTGCTGGTTGAAGCAGTCCAGTGAAAGGTTACATCTTTTGTGTGCAATTCTTATTTTTGTTAGGAGCTGCTCCACTTGTTTGGATCAGTTTTCTGGCTGTTATCACCCAGCATAGCATCGCCGGAGCTAACGGACAAAGTTCGACCTATCCTTTCTTCTTTGGTGAGGGTAGAAAGGGAAAGGGTTGGGAGTGAAATTATTTATCACAGCAGGCTCGAAGCAGAAAGGACCTGGCAGTTTTCTCCTGAGGAATACTCTGTATTTGTGTGTTATCTCCTATTTTGGCCAGTCTGCTTCTGTGTGTCAGCGATAACACTTGAAAGATTTCCACTTTTTCCCCTTATCATTCCTGAGCTGGTAGGAGACCGCATTGTCAAATACCTAGATATCTTCATACTGCGTTACTTTAACATTTGAATTGTTTCATTTGTAAGACAATGAATTATGTGGTATTCACTTTGAGCCATGATTTACATTTGACTCACAATGTTCTTAAGGAAAAGTTGCTGGGATTGCTTTCACAACCTCACGCATTTGAAGAAAGTAGATGAATGCACAAAAAAAGAAATTGATATAAAATAGCCGTATCTGAAGCAATCATGCCCTGTGTGTAAGCCTCTTGGAATGCCAACAGTGTTGTGAAAATGAAAAATGACAAAATTATGACGCAAATAACCTGCTAGGGTTTAATGATGCTTTCCCAAACACGTGTTAATGTTTCATCGTTATTACGTGAAGTAGTTCTGATCAGTTGATATGATGCTGTTTTTCCCTCTGGTGAAGAGGAGAATCCTTTGAATAACACTCTTTGGATGACCAACCCTCAGGAGCCGGCATGTCTCCTCTGCCTCCATTGGCCTCTGTGGGAAAGCCAAGAGATAAGCAAGCCTTTCTGGGCTGTGTCCCTTACAGCATCTTTTAACGCCAAGGGATCCCAGTTTTGACAACGTATGGCAGACTGAGGGGCTGACATGGAAGTAAACTTTGTGGATGGAGCTACTGAGGAGATATTGAGGCAGTGTTGCCTGGAATGGGGCTCTGTCAGGAGGATGAGTGGGCACCAGGCAAACAGATCATCATCTGCAGTTCCACAAAGCGCTGGCACTTTTTCCATTTCTTAAACAATAGCAATGTTTTCCACTCTAACTTTGCACAGGCTAATCACTCATGGCAGAATTTCTAAATAAACATCCTGGTTCTTGACTCAAATGATTGCAAAAGGTGAAGTAATACTGTTGACACAGCGTAGGAGCTAGAGTGATAACCTTGGAGCAGTTTCTCTTTGCTGCAAGGGAGTGTATTTCCTCTCATTCTCGAACATTTGCTAGCATCTGAAGTGGCTTTAGCCCAAACACTATTGTGTGGTTCTGCTGAAGCCTTAAACTAAGGAACTACAGCTCAACAAAAGTAATTGTGCTTGGGAAGGGCTCCTCTAGCGTGACCTCAAAGCATCCTGGTGATCATGGCTCTCTGACCTCACACCATTTCCTATTTCCACCTTCATTTTGCTGTCAGTGCTAACTGGAAGGATCAGCTGTGATGAGGTGGCATTCTCAGGGTCCCTTCTAACTGCTTGCAGACCAACTGGAGAGCAGAAGCAGAATTCCAGACAGGCAGAGCTGTGCCCTTGCTGGCCATTCTCCAACTCGCAGCCTGGATCCCATGCGTCTTTTAAGGACCCCATTCCCTGTGCGGAGCACACAGATTCCCAGGGGCAGAACACTGCTGAGTTGGAAGATCCCTCTTGACACCTCATGGCATGATTTGCTTTTGGTTATCTGAGGGAAATGCGTGCTACCTCTAGGTTGAGATTTCAAAGTGCACTTGGTAGTTACGGTGCTGGTCCAGCACAGTACTGGCAAGGCTGCGCTTTGCTGCAAACTTGGAGGAGAGGACATGATGCAGAGCAGGAACTGTTCTCCATGCATTTCTCTAGGTTGAAAACCAGTGTTGGGATGATGATCACATGGCTGGAAGCTTGTGCCTATTGAACCAGTAGCAAGTGTTGCTTGAACATAATGCTTCCATGAGCTGCAGTAGAGTATAGCCTATGGTGCATTGTTAAGCATGAGCAGGATGGTGACCTGCATGTAAAATGCATATTGGTAAACACAGAGCACCTTATTTGCTCAGAGTTCTCAGCATTCCCTATTCTTTAAATGGAAATGCAAATATTGTGGTAACTCTTTAACTCCTGTGGGCAGGAAACACCAGTACTGAAATGGCTCCTGTTGCGTAAGTCTTACTTATTGCTTCCGTTCGGAAAATCATTCTGGGTTTGCATGTGTTCTGATTTTGAAGCTTTTCCTGAATGGCTTTGAAGTCTTTTGAAAGTTCTCAGGTATTTTCAGACTTCAAAGATAGATGCGGTTTTCTTTCTATCCTAGTAGAACAGATGATTTAAAAACAAACCAACGAAAATGGGAAAGCCCGATCTTTTCTTTAAGACTCCTTAAACCATTCAGAGAATGTGTGCTTTTGATAGATAGAAAAGGCCATGGATACTGTGCATGGTGTTTCACAAGCCCTGTTTCCTTAGGATACAAAGAAGGCAGCAAGAGGAGGAAGCAGAAGCAGAGAGAGGAACAGAAGAAGAAGAAGTCAACCAAAGGGAGTTACTAAAATGGACATCTCTGCTATGCCAATCCCTTTATTAAAACGGCAACTTACGTTACATTTGAGCACACCTCTTCTGTGTATATTTTTCAATTGTTCACACTGCTAGTAAGGAAGTGACTCATGTTTAAGACTGTACTAAAATTGCACTATATTATTCTTTTCAGTTTTCACGGAGTGGCTTTCTTGCCAGTCAGGTTAAGGAGTTTGGACGGGGCTGATCGTGGTTAGAAGTGTGTTATGTTTGAAGATTGGAGGGTATTACAGAATCTTGTACCTCTTCCTTTCCTGGGACTGAAGTTCCCCTTGCCTAGAATTAATTTGTTTTGTGGGATACAGAGGGTTGTGCAAACACCTGTTTGTTCAGTCACCCCCAGCATCACCAGCAGGCTTGCTGGAAGAAGAGTAAAGCACCAATCCTGTTCCCTCCATCACTGGGGGTAGGACTGAGACGTGAGCTCTCTCAAATGGTAATTTATGCAAACTTAATAAATGACTTCAATGTTTTTTTCTTTTTATCACCCAGGCAGGGCAGCAAAGGTTTGTCCCCGCTATCGGAATGATCCTTCATTTTAAAGTGTATGATGAAGTTGCATCCTTTGGTTTTAACAAACTTGGCGTAATTATGGTCTGTAAGCACTCCTACTGATTTCTGCAACTGTGGTTGACTCCCGATGAATCATTTAGTGAAATCATTCCTTATTTTAAAATTTTGCTTTCAGAAACTAGAGACAAATGACCTAAGTGCCACTTTACAACTGCTCTTCCTGCTGAGTAGATTTTAGATAATGAACATATTTCAGAATCCGTGTAAGATTTTATCAGGTTGTTTCTGCAAAGAACTCGCATCTTTATGTATGAAAGCATTCTGTGTCACTTTTATTGCAGGACTTTTTTTTTTTTTAATTTGAAAACGTGTCTTCAGTTTAAAGGAAATCTGCATTTTCTGGCTAGGTTACTTCCTTGCTTCCCATAATTCTCTCATGTGCATGATATATTGCTTCCCTTAACCTTCTAGTTTGTACAAAGCCCTTCTGTTGCCTTAAGCATTTACCTGCATGTTTCTTGTCAATATGTTGCCTCTCTTAACCTCCAGGCGGGAGTTAGCAGCCCATGGTTTTGTGTTGTTCCTTGTGTCTCCTCTCGCCAATGCGCTGTTGATGTAACAGACTTACACCTGGCAATATTGAAAGTCTGCAGTTCTTGGAGAAACTCACTCATCCTAATAGAGCAATGCATATAATGGTGTAAGGAAGGAGCTAAACAGAAAAATCAAGTCTGCATTTTAGCATGGTTTGATATAACAAATTCTGTGCCTGGTACTGAGCAGTTTAGCTTCAAATACATGACATAATGTAACCTTACGCAAACATATAACCATAAATGAACTGTTAGGGTGTTTAAATTAAGCTCGATATGAAATAAGCCTGAGTACCAGTTTTCTGTCACTTAAGTATCACTTTTTCATTTTGTGCAGTGTTACTAATATTTAAAAATAAAGAAAATTCTCCTTTATACTTTGTCCTCTTGCACTGTAATGTAGACTAGAGCTGACACCAGACGTTCATGTTTAATTTCAGTTATGGTTTAAGCTGTAGGCACAAAAGAGAAAGCCCACCTGAATAAAATACCCACAGCCTCACCCCCACGATGGCTCTTGTTGAATCCATGAGCGATTTGATACAGACCCCATGTCAAATGGCTGATACTGGAGAGCTAGGGTTTATCCTTGATACATTGCCATAGTACCATATGCATCATATGGAGCTTGCATGTTAGCTGTATGAGGGTCATACTGAATAGTACACAGCACTTTGAATTACATCCCATTTAAATCTCATTCTGCATTTTGTGAGGAGTCCCCACCAACAGGTATGTCAATTTTAAGCTGTCAGAGTGCTTTTTTTTCCTGAGGAAAATGGTGCATGTTGTGGAAAAGCAGGAGAGATGAGAAAGGGAGAGTGACACCAGCCTAGGGCTGTCTCCCCACATTGTCCCCATGCTCTGAGCAGCCTTGTATCACAGAACAGCATGGCTTTGGATCAAGAATGTCTCTGGAAGAGTTGGAGCAGACTGGGATTTAGGTACGTAAATGTATGCCTGACTCCTATGACTGCATTAGGCTTGAATGAGGTCTGAGCTTTACGTAGCTATGAGACCTACAGGTTGTTGGTAGGAAGTTGGTTAGGAAGCCTGAGTCCTTAGTGAAGTGTAGGTCTCCCCATTAATGGCTGTCCAACCTTGGGATGCCGTTGCTTTGAGAGCATCCTTATCACAGAAGGTGTAGAGAGAAACTCCTGGGAAACACAGAATCCCCAGAGGAGGGAATTATGGGCTCCATCTTCCTTATAACTACCTAGAATCTGCCCAAGCTTGCCCAGAAATTAAGAAACGTGGGCCCAGGGCCATGATTCCTTCAGCCTGGTTATTTCTGGATATTAACTGAAAGGCAACAGAGTGCCATAGAGCAGCATTACCAGCTTGGGTTTTCCGACATGCTGGGTTGTAGGGCAACTCGGACACAGGTCTGGGTCTGAGCAGGCACATATATGAGGGCTTTGCATCCCTCTGCCAAAGCTGAAGGCCGCATGGTGGTACAGTTACTTTAAGTATTGTCTGGGCTAGAAAATGCAGGTGGCTGTGAGATGACACCACTGATAGCATTGGCCTACGAGTGATGTGTGAATAAATGGATTATGAAAGGTAGGCAAAGATTTCCTGACCATCCAACAACACTCGCATGGAAGAGCTGAGGATAGAAACAGACCTGGTGCAATGTATAAAATGTGTTGCAAAAGGATTTGCTACAGAGCAGACGCTGGGGCTCAGAGACACAGGGTGTTTTCAATCCCTTTTAGTATCCCATGAGAAAGTTAAATGATACGGGTGAAGAATACACAGTGAGCCGAGAAACAGCATAATTAAGATGATACACTGAAAACAAAACAGTCTTATCTTCCTTCAGGTGGAGGACACAATCACAAACAAGCAAAGCAGCGAGAGATAAAGGTTCCTGCTCCTGCCGCTATGAAAATGGTTTAAATAGGGTTTTTTTTCCACACCTTTTAGAGATGTGCACAGCCTGCTCTTTGAACTGTGCTTTGGCAAGACTTTGATCTTCAATGATCTCGGGGAGAATAGGTGTTAAACTGATAAAAATGTGCTTTCAAGTTGTTTGCCCAGACCACGATCGTACCGGGGCAGCCTTCAGACCTGGAAGCACCACTCCTAAAGGTAAGACAACCCCAGCTTTCTATGTTGGCTTAGCTGCTTCTTCCCTACATTTCAGAGCCATCTCACGGTTCATGTATGTGGTCACTGATATAACACACCTCAAAGATGCTCCTTTAGGAAAGAAATCAGGTACCCTGAAAAAAATGCATTCCCTCAGGCCCTGTTGTTGCTGCAGAGAGCACAGCTCAGTGCTCAGCTGCAGAGAGCACAGCTCAGTGCTGCCTTCCACTCCCTGTGAGGAGCTGTATGGCCATGAGCCCTCCCCTCAGCTCCACTGCTCTGTGCCCAGCAAACCCAGGGGCCTCAGTGCTCCTCGTCCACCTTGTCCTCCGAACCTTCACCATCTCTGTGTGTTCAAACTTAGCTCGTATTTCAATGTTCTCCTTCTCACTCCATCTTTCCTGTCAAGCATCTTTCTCCCTTCGCCGTAATTCTTATGTTGACAGGGGGAGTGGTAGCACCATGCATGATTAAATATATTTAATTCTTCTCTTCCCAATGTGTGGGTTGGAATCAGATCCTCAGAGGCTTTTTATCCCTATTTGCAGAACTCTGCCCATTTCTACCTGTAGCACTGAGAGCTCTAAGCAAGGCAAGGCAAATTTCCTCTCTGCTGATTGAAAGTGGGGAGCTTTGAGTGGTCTACAGATGCTCAGGTTTAAAAAAATGCTTATATTTGAAACAGTAACAGATTCAGCTGCCTTGTGTCCATGTGCTTTGGCTTCCCACAAGATTTTGCAGCAGAAAAGGCTTGGGTGGGTTATTGGGAAGTGTCAGATTTGCTAAGTACCTTGCTGGTGCCCTCTGACAGCAGCTGTTAGCTACTGACAGCAGGATAAGCATTGCCAAAGTGCTGAGCTGCTCTGAGGGGATGCTTCCGTGTGCAGGGTTAGGTTACCTCATTGCTCTTGTCACAAGGAATAGACGACTCACTCACATATTTTGCATATCCTGAATGGTAGCACCTCAGAACTTCCTTCTTCCAGGATGCCTCATGTTGTCACTGCAAAGCCAGCCCAAAAAGTGAGTGTCGTGGGAAAATAAAGGCACGTTCTCATAGTGAGTCTGAATACTTTGATTTCAGGAAGACACCTCTGTGTCTGTCTGGAAGTGATCACAGATTTCCTAAAACATCCCCAAAGAGGGAACAATACCTCACTGCACGGCTTGATTGCATCTCCTCAGAGTTGTTTCCATTGGCATGCACATGCACCTTTCTACTTACAGAGCTCACATCATTTTTTCCATCCCTTGTTTGGGAAGTGCTCATCCTTTGGTCAATGCAGAGTGGCTCGCATCTCCTGTAGGCTGCCAGTGCTTGCAGTGTGTTGTGATATGGAAAGTGTTTTTACATTATCCCAATATTAAAGAGTTAGGCTTGGGAGAATTTCCTTAATTTAAAAAACAGAATTTGCTTTCAAGAGTTTAAGATGAAAGCTTACAGTACAGAGTGGTTGCTCACCAAGTAGGAGAACGCATCTCATAGAACCACAGAATGTCCTGTGTTGGAAGTGACCCATAGGGATCACCAGGCCCAACTTCTGTCTCCTATCTCAGTAATGTATAAAGATAAAATTTAAGAAATACATATTTCTGCCTGGATGTTGGACAGCCTTGGATGCTTTAATATGCTAAGAGAGCAGTGCTGGTTGCATACTGCTACGTGAGACTGAGAGAGAGGTTGAAGCTCCTGTAATTAACTGAGCACTCAGAGCATTAATGAGCTTCAAGCAGCCATGGAGGAGCACTAAGTAGACACTTTCCACAGCACCCGGAGCGGACATGCACCAAAGGTGCATGACTCGATCCTGCAGCAGATACAAGCCACAACCTGCTGTACCAGTAGTGTTGTGACAACCTGGGCTATGCTGCTTTTGGATCCAAGTCAGTGGGTAACCAGCACCAGGTCCTGCCCAGCACTGTGAGTCATGTTTTACACCCACAAAAATGACTTGTTCCCTCCCTGGCCCACTGGCCTTTCTTTGTTAGTGAGTAATGGTGGATGCCTAGAGGAGAGCACGAGAACAGGCTGAGCACGTAATAACACTTCACTGCAATATTTTCCCAGCTGTGGCACTCAATGTCAGAGGCTCCTGGATCTAGAAATGTTGTTTTTTGGTTGCTTAATTTTTGTTTGCATTGATTTCCATTTTCCTAGGAAATTGCATAATGAACACAATGTCCTACGGCAAGGAATCTGCTGGGAGAAGGGAGATTGCATTTGTTTTAAACCTCTCCCTTTGGCTTTCTCCCTTCCTCCATCCTTTCCTCAGAAGAGACCTGGAACACCACATTCTCATTCACCTTTTCCACACTACGCCTGATTTTCCCATTAAGCTCAATTTGAGCTCATTGCCATGCTGGTATCCCCAGTGCTTGGTCATAGAACTATAGAATGGCTTGGGTTGGAAGGGACCTTAAAGATCATATAGTTCTAACCCCCTGCCATAGGCTGGTTGCCACCCAACAGCTCAGGCTGCCCAGGGCCCCATCCAACCTGGCCTTGAGCACCTCCAGGGATGGGGCACCCACAGCTCTTTGGGCAGCTGTGCCAGGGCCTCACCGCTCTCTGGGCAAAGAGTTCCTCTTTCTCACACCTTCCCCTTCCTTCCCACCCACGTCATCTAGCAGTCCCTAGTGGCTGATGGTGTGCATATCCCTGATTTCTGCAGCACTGCATGTCGCACAGCTTTTCCCCTTTCAAACTCATTTTGTCCCCTATCCAGATGGTATTTCCCAGATGTGGAAATCAGGGCTGAGATCATCCCTATTCTCAGCACATTTTGTTCAGGGAAGGCTGCATTCAAGCATTCACTCACTGGGTTTTAGGGTCACCAGTTTCATCTGGGAAATCTTAATCAGCTGGGCAGTTAGTCATGATGGTAGGGGAGGATTTACAGAGATGGGAGGGTGCAGGAGATCAAATGATTGTTAAAGTGCAAAGTCAGTGCTGGCCCATTGCCTAGCTGGATCCAACCCCCAAAAGCTTGTATCAGAATCTCTCATGCTTTTAGAGCTCTGCAACTCTGCTTTAGATCCCTCTCTACTTTATGATTATCATAGAATGACGAAGGTTGGAAAAGACCCATAAGAACATCACATTCAGCCATCATATTTGCCCAACCAGGCAAGACACAAGCTGAGCAACAGGATTTCTGCTTGCAGTGCCTCTGCTCCTGTAACGGCCCTGCTGTGGTCAGCAGGAGCATTTTTGTGTGTACCTGAGCCCAACATCTCTTCTTTCTCAGCAGAATTCAGGTGCACTGGTGGCGATTTTTTAA